GTCTCTACCAAAAATACAAAAATTAGCTGGGTGTGGTGGCGTGTGCCTGTAGTCCCAGCTAGAATGGAAGCTGAAGTGGGAGAATCCCTTGAGCCTGGGAGATCGAGGCTGCAGTGAGCTGTAATTGCATCACTGCACTGCAGCCTGGGCGACAGAGTGAGATCCTGTCTCAAACAACACAAAAAAGTAATATATCAGGACTTGGTGTAACTTCAGCCCTTCACAGTAATAATGAAGGAGAAAATCGCATTTGTGGAGAGGGGACCATGTTCACTCTTTATCTGTCCACGATAGATAGTCGGGAGCTTTATATACCCAAGGAACCTAAGGAAAAATGTTCCCTGTCATGACTCACAATCTTCCAGCCACCCTTTCTTGCACCTGTCTTGTGGGCTGGGGGACCCAACTTATGGATCCTATCATCCCAGGGAGAAAGAAAAATCAAATCCTTCGGTATCTCTTTTGGGGCATGCTCTCCTCTATTTGCATGGAGGATAAGGCACTCAATATCTAGTATCGGAATGTTACATTTGTGTAATACAGAACTATATTGGGATAAAATAGAATTTGTCTCCTCTGAGACACAGGTAGAGGTACGTCCACACTGACCTGGGTGGCAGCCACCTCTTCCTGCAGTGCCAGGCAGGACATGCTCACAGATCTGGGGAACTTCTGCTGCTCATGGAGCTCCACAACCTCCTTCCTGGCACCCTGTCCCTCTGGTGGTTGTGACAGCCCACACATGGCCTTGGGTCTCCCCTGCTTCTTTGCCTGCCCCTCTTCTGCCCACCCTGCATATCTCTGTCTCCCACTGTCCCTGCTGTGACTATGACTGCCTGTCCATCCTTGTACTCTGTCTCTGCTAGCACTCCTTGTCTTGGGTAAATGAACCCACAGCCTCTACATTGTGATTGGGGGCAGAATCCGGGACTTGTTCAATTCTCCCTCCCTCCATTACACACACCTGTCCTCCGTAATGTTTCTGAAGTCAGTGAGCTCCAAATTCAGCCCCTCCTGCACCTGCCAGCTGTAGGACCTGTGACAAGACACCTACCATCTGTCTGGGACTCCGTCTCTCATCTATCATATAGGCATAATGATGATAGTGTCCTCCTTCCAAGGCTGGGGAGGACCAGGAGGCCAAGGTGATGGACTACGGACGGTCAAAACAGCTCTCATCCTGCCTCCACCTGGGGCTGGTGTTTCAAGTCCATTGTGTGTGAATGGAGCCTTAATGTCTCCATTCACACACAATGATGTGTTCTAAAATAATGGAGCGAGACTTTCCTGACAAAACCCAAAAAAATTAGTGAAACATGATGGTGCGTGCCTGTAGTCACAGCTTCTCTGGAGGCTGAGGTGGGAGGATCGCTTGAGCCCACAAGTTCAAGGCTGCATTACCCTATGATCGTGCCACTGCACTCTAGTCTGGACAGAGCAAGACCCCATCTCTAGAAGAAACAAACAAACAAAGACAACAACTGGAAACATCCTCCACTAGAATGGTGGTCAGGAACATCTGTCTGCCTTGTTCCCTGATGTCTCTCCAGCACCTAGAACAGCGCTCAATACCAGTTCACACTCATTAGGTTTTTGTTAAATAAATGACTCCTTTGACGCAGCAATTCCACTTCTAAGAATCTTTCCTAAAGAAATATTCACACATGTACACAGAGCTGTGTGCACAATAATGAGAGGAGCAAATAACTGGGGAATGTTTGCAAATGTTTATTAACCGTCAGTGACTCGATAGAGGGAAATTGGATGAGGGGAGTACATGCTGAACAGGAAACGGAGTGAGCGAGGCTTGAGCAGGATGCACGGCAATGGGAAAAGCAGACGGGAGATGCTTATAGTGGTTCTTGGTGTGTGTGTGTGTGTGTGTGTGTGTGTGTGTGTGGTGTGTAAATGTAGAAGAAAAAATCTGAAATTAAACACTCAGAACTGCCCTCAGTAGTCACATCTGGTGAGAGAGGAGGGTGGTGCTGTTCTATGCAGAGAATACCTGACAATACTTGTTTTCTAAGGTAGATGCATGGATACACAAACCAAAATATGCATTAAGTATGTCTTGCTGATCAGTGAAAATGCTAATATCTAACAGAATGGCACACTGCAAGAAACGACAATGGAAATGCTAACATGGAACGCTTGGCACACTAAGAAAAATGACGCTCAACTTTTCACTGTTGTGAACACTCGCTTTCACTTGCTATACACCTGATGACAAGGGGTCCGCCGCCATGCCCATGTTCGTGAAAGGTCACCATGTTCTGCTTCTCATCACGGGCATGTGTCATATCCCTGAGGCTGAGGCAAGAAGAGAGAAGGAAAGTAAGTGACAGTGAGTTCCCACCGCGTGACAACTCAAACTCAAGTCCTCCTAACCTGCAGACCCTGCACACTCCGATTCTGCCCTACCTCAGGACCTGCACACGCCTTCCACGGTTCCTTGAAGTGAACCATCTGCTCATGGCACAGTGACCTCCTCACTTGTTTTATCCATTCCTAGGCTAGAGGAAAGTGTGGCCCGTGTATCAGGGCTGACCTCGGGTTTGGGATCCCACAGCATCCTGGGTAAGGAGCATCCCTGGATATAAAGGGTAGGGAGTAGAAAGAGCATGGGAAATCTCATCATTCAGCCTCAATGCTGTACCCTAGAAAATTATGAGAAGGGAATGATTTGGGGAACAAGTGATAAGATGGGATACCAGTACCATAACAGAATAGCACATCTGCAGGGATGTGGGGAATGAGTCCAAGGTTCACTTAGGGAGTTACTCGTCATCTTCCTCAGCGTCGCTGATCTCTTCATAAATCACCAGCTGCTTTCTCTCATGCAGTCTGTGGGTCCAGGCATGTTTCCCTCTTTTGGGTCCTATGATGGAGAAGAGTTGGAAGATGAGGGTTGGGTAGGCTGGAGAGTGTTAGGCTCTGTTTACTCAAAAACAGGAGATGCCTCCCCACTCCCAAGTGCCCATGGGCCTTCTTTATCCAGTTTTTCACATTCTCTGGCTTAGAGAGGCTGAAACCTTAGACCCACACTAATACAGGCCAAATGCCAATTGAAGTTTTAGCTTCTGGCTCCTTCCCTTGTCAGGCTTAGATTCCCAACCTCTTCACTTACAGGAACATTCACGCATACCTCCTTTCATTCAGCACATATTTATTAAGGCCACACAGGCACACCTTGATTTATCGCACCTCATTTTCATAGTGCTTCACAGATGCTGCAATTTTTTTTTTAATTCTCACCAATTTTACACTTTTCCATTATTATTATATCTATTATGTGATCTGTCATCAGTGAGCTTTGATATTATTACTGCAATTGTTTTTACTGTTTTTTAGTCTTTTAAAATAATTTTTGTTTTTTATTTTTGTGGGTCCACAGTAGGTGTATATACTTATGGGGTACATGAGATGCTTTGATACAGGCATGCCATGCGTAATAATCGCATCATGGAAAATCGAGTATCCATCCCCTCAACCATTTATCCTTGGTTACAAACAATCCATTTACACTCTTTTAGTTTTTTTTAATGTACAATTAAGTTATTATTGACTATAGTCACCCTCTTGTTTGTAATAGTTTTGGGGGTAACAGGAGCTGCACCCATAGATGATGATAAACTTAATCGACCAATGTTGTGTGTGTTCTGACTGCTCCACCAGTGAGCTGTCCCGGGTCTCTCTTCCTCTTCTTGGGCCTCCCTATTTCCTGAGACACAGGAATACTGAAATTAGGACAATGAACCATCCTACAATGGCCCCTAAATGTTCAAATGAAAGGAAGAGTCGTATGTCTCTCACTTTAAATCAGAAGCTAGAAATGGCTAAGCTTAGTGAGGAAGGCATGCTGAAAGCCAAGACAGGCTGAAAGCTCGGCCTCTTGCACCAAACAGCCAAGCTGTGAATGCAAAGGAAAAGTTCTTGAAGGAAATACTAATACTAATACTCCAGTGAACACATGAATAACCAAGCAAAACAACCTTACTGGTGAAATAGAGGAAGTCTGAGTGGTCAGGATAGAAGATGAGACCAACCACAACATTCTCTTAAGCCAAAGTCGAACTCAGAACAAGACCCAAACTCTCTTTAAGTCCGTGAAAGTTGAGAGAGGTGAAGAAGCAGCAGGAGGCACATGTGAAGCTAGCAGAGGTTGGTTCGTGAGGTTTAAGGAAAGAAGCCGTCTCCATAACATAAAAGTGCAAGGTGAAGCAGCAAACCCTGATGGAGAAGCTGCAGCAAGTTATCCGGAAGATCTAGCTAAGATCACTGTTGAAGGTGGCTACACTAAACAACAGATTTTCAATATAGATAAAATAGCCTTCTATTGGAAGGTGATGCCATACAGGACTTTCATAGCTACAGAGGATTGATTCTAACTTTGAAAGAAGTTCTACTGTGGGTAAAATGTTATCCAATAGCATCACATACTACAGAGAAATACTTCATGAAAGGGAGAGCTAATCTATGTGGCATATTTCATTGTTGTGTTCTTTTAAGAAACTGCCACAGACACTCCAAGCTTCAGCAACTGCCACCTTGATCAGCCAGCAGCCATCACCACCGAGGCAAGACCCTCCCTCCACCAGCAAAAAGAGTGTGACTCACTGGAGACTCAGAAGATTGTTAGCATTTTTAACAATGAATTATTTTAAAATTAAGGTATATACATTTTTAGACATAACACTGTTGCACACTTAGTAGACTATACTATAGTAGAAACAATGTTTTTATGCACTACCAAACCAAAAAAAAGAAAAGTCTGTGACTCACTTTATTGCAGTGGTCTGGAACCAAACCAGCAATATCTCTGAAGTACATCTATATTGGGTATCAGGCATTGAGCTAAGTATGATATGATCCTAGGTAATCACAGATAGAATTGCTTGAGCACCTTTCACGTCATCAGGCCTTCTAGATTTAATTTAATGCCTCCAAACAACTTATGAACTATGATTATTTCCATCTTATGGACTAAGTATCTGGAGCTGAGAAAATCTGAAAGACTTACCCCAAGTCACGTGGTTTTTTCTATGAGTGACAACTCAAGTCTGTGCCTCTGGAAGTCATGTCTAACATCTCATCTGGAGCTGGGCGAGCTCCTCAGCCCAACCTGGACCCAGGCTTGTCTGGGATCCATGCCACACACCCAGTCCACACACCTGAACATAGCCAGGGAAGCCAGAGGGGTTGTTCCCGAATTGCTTCCTCTTACCAGATGTCGCGTTAATCTTCTCAGAGGTACTTGGTTTTCCCGAGGGGCACAACTGTTTCCCATCGTTTTGTGAGCCAGATGCTTCTGACATTCCCTTCGAATCATTTCCTTCCCCTGCTGGCATCTTGGGCATGATCTTTATAATGTGAAGGTTACAGATAAACAGTATCAGTGACATTTCTATAGTGCTTTTGAGCTTACAAAGCATTTTCCCATGCATTAACTTAATTAATGCTCTCAACAACACTGGGAGAGTTACATAGACCTAAATTAGAAGAAACCTGGGAGGTTAGATGGGAAAGGAATGGCCTATGTGAATATGGTTTCCAGGGCTAGAATGCTTATCTTCACACTCTTTTAGGACTGACATTCTTGCAAACAGCAAAATTCTCCATGTAATTGAGAGTGTCGTATACAGAAGACTTGAAGAAGAATAGCATTCTAAGAATTCACAAGGTCTACACGAGGAAGAGCTTCTGTAAAATACAAGGGATCCCATATAAGCTTGTAGATAGCTGCTGGGAGAGTAAATGTAAAAACATAGAGAAGGGACAAAAAATTGCTGGGAAAGATAGTGTGGGGAGATGAATACAGGAAAGGGAGAAGGAAAGAAATGGTTTGCTGAAATTAATCTAAGCAGCAAAGAAAGCAGTACCAGATATGGCATACCACCCCACAGAGGCACCAACATTGAATGTGGAATTCAGTGAAGTGGTACCCATACCAATTCTGCTTGCATTGGAATGTGTCACTGACCAACAACCTTAAGCTACTTTTTTTTTTCTTTTTTTTTTTTTTTTTTCTAAGACGGAGTCACGCTCTGTTGCCAGGCTGGGGTGCAATGGCATGATATCAACTCACTGCAACATCTGACTCCTACGTTTAAGCGATTCTCCTGCCTCAGCCTCCAGAGTAGCTGAGACTACAGGCAGGAGCTACCACACCCCGCTAAGTTTTGTATTTTTAGTAGAGACATGGTTTCATCATGTTGGGCAGGATGGTCTTGATCTCTTGACCTCGTGATCCGCCCACCTCGGCCTCCCAAAGTGCTGGGATTACAGTCTTGAGCCACCGTGCCTGGCTCTTAAGCTACTTTTTATTCAACTTCCTCACTTATGAAATAGTGAACAATACATGTAAAATAGGCTACGGGAAAGTCCTCTCTGAGCTTGTAAACATTGTTTAAATGTAGTAATAATAACAACTAATACCTTTCATGATCCTTCTTTGAATTCAGTCTACACACTGGCCACCCAACTCCTAGATCCCTATACCCTCTAACCCAGAGTTGAATCTGCAGTTGTAGGCTCACTCATTCAGGGGCCTCCGAGGGATCACTGGGCTGGGATGGGGGCTTCCCGGATGCTCCAGGTACAGACAAGGCCCTCAAGGAGCTCACAGTAAGGAAGGGCCAACAGTCAAAGCGATTCCTAAGCCATGCAGATGGCCCCAGTAACACAGCAGAGACCAGCTGGTCCTTCCTGTTACAAGAGTGAGTGTCTCAATGGAAGCTCCAGCAGGCACTATGAGGTAAAGCCCTAGTGAGCAACATCCAAACTTCATAAAAAAATGAAGACATGAATGAGCTTTAAATGGTTTGGAGCTCTGGATTAGACTACCACTGCCACTGCACCTCAGGAACATTCATTAACATCTCTGTACCACGACAGCCTCATTTTATTATTATGTCGCTGATAATTAGGATCTATAACATGAACTATGATTCTTTACTTCCATTGCATGGACCAGGAATCTGGAGCTGAGAGGACTTAGAAGGTTTGCACCAAGTCACATGGCTTTTATACGGATGACAACCGAAGTGTGTGACTCTTTATTATTTGGAGATAATAATAGAAACATCATAGAGGTCTTCTTATGGATTAAATAAATGAATCCATGTGAACTGTTTAAAATACTATCTGGCATCACTATGAAAACAAAAGAAGTATTAAGGATCACAACTCTTAGTATTATCAAGCTGTTGATGCTACATCAGTTGTTGTGATAGACATGGGGAGAAGGAGGCAGTGAAGGCATTTTTTATATTCTCCCACTCTTACCAGTGTTCGCATCTGTGGAGGGACAAAGGTTCTCTGGTCCTTTAGATTTGAGAGATACTCACCTTCAGGAAGATTCCCTGGAGCCTGCCGAAAGTCATCTGAGGACGTTCAACTGAAAGAGAATACATCAGAATTTTTCTTTGTTGGTAAAGATTTCCAAACTCTAGAGAGACTTCTGTCGCATAAGGGCATTCTGCAGCAGAGGGTTTTCCGTCCACTCACTGTTGAGGAGTTATGTGAGATTTGCTTCTGAATTATGTTTAGTCCTGGTTGGTGCATTTATCTGTGGCATCAGTTCAGAATTTTCCATCTCATGGTTTATCAAATGGGGGTTAAACCCCATCACAGTCTCATCTTCTTCCATTACATATCTTTCACTTTTTCCCAAATAACTAAATTGATTGTTTGGGAATCTGAACTGTATTCACTCAAGATGTGCAACAACTGAAAATCATTGTACACTTGAAATGGGTGAATCTTATGGTATGTCAATTAAGCTCTTAAATGTGTGATGAACTATGGATGATTTAGTCCAGTGGCTCTGAAATATTTTCAGTATAAAGACACTCCTTTAATGTCAAAAACTTGGCAGATACTCAAGCACTGGATTTTCAGATCTCTTATAGTGATTGTGGGAGGTGGTAGAATCTGGCCTGTTTAGTTGGGGTCTATTGGAGACAGTTTGGACATTCTGACCTTGTCTTACAACTGTGTTTTCAGAGCAGAAGAGCAAGTAAATACATATGTCCCCTTTATATTCCTGAAATGTACAAAGATTTCTACCCAATAACCTGTCGTTTTATCACCCCATGTTATCTCTCCTTACTGACAAGTGGGAAAGCTCTCTGTGTGTTGGATGAGGGATCACTCTTTCAAACTCACCTCTGAGCTCATCACAAAGAATCAGGGTTCTTTGGGAATGAGAAGACTATTTGGTTTTGATAAAATACAGAGAAACAGCAACCTTTTTTACATAATGTGTTCACTACCCTTACTACTAAGATACCTATCCAATACCTACATGCTGTTAATGAAACAAACTCGGGGAGTCTTTGCAGATCTACAGTTTTAACATTTGCTTTCTTTTTTTTTTTTACTTGTAACATTTTCTTAACTGTCCTTTGATTCATTAACAGTGCTTAGGAAGAACATGTCCTTTAAAAACGAAATATTTAAAACACACAGAAAAGTATGGGGAATAATATTGAGGCCAGTCGGATCTCAACATTACCCCACAGCTATGTTAGGTCTGATTTATTAATTCAGAATATTAGAAATACTACAAACAGACCGGGAGTAGTAGCTCACACTTGTATTCCCAGCACTTTGGGAAGCTGAGTCGGGTGGATCACCTGAGGTCAGGAAGTTTGAGATCAGCCTGGTCAACATGATGAAACTCCGCCTCTACCAAAAATTTAAAAATTAGCTGGGTGTGGTGGCGGGCGCCTGTAACCTCAGCTACTCCGGAGGCTGAGGCAGGAGAATCACTTGAACCAGGGAGGTGAAATTTGGAGTGAGCTGAGTTTGTCTTATTGCACTCTAGCCTGGGCGACAAGAGTGAAACTCCATCTCAAAAACAAAAACAAACAAAACACACTATCAACAAGTCACAGCTGAAGCTGTCTGTGCAGCACTCACCAATCCCTGCCCTCCCTCCTTCTCCACCTACAGCCAGTCACCTTAATTTGATGTCTTTTTATTCACATTCATGCTTGTATACATTTACTACTTACTTATTTTCCATAAAAATAAATATTCTTGTTTTGCATGTTTTAAAATTTTACATGAACGGCCTCTGTAGTTAACTTTCTGTATGCATTTTTTTTTCACTCAGCCCTGATGTGTATGAGGGAACAAATGTCTGAGGATCTTTCCCAGGTAGCTGAGCTGAAAAGCAGTTGGACTTGAGGAGACCCTTTCCAGCCCCTTCCCATCTACTCACCCTGATTCCCGCGGTTACAGTCATTATCAGAATCATTCCCCTGGAAGTCTGTGGCCCGTTTATTACGCATGAAAGGTGGGTGGGTGACCTTGAAACCTAGAAAGAAGCCAAATGTTTATTCCTGAAGAGACAAGCTTAGGCCTGGCACAGTGGCTCATGTCTGTAGTACCAGCACTTTGGGAGGCTGAGGCTGGAGGATTGTTTGAGGCCAGGAATTCGAGGCTGCAGTGAGCTATGATTGCACTACTGCACTCTAGCCTAGGTGACAGACTGAGACTCTGACTCAAAAAAGAATAAAAAGAAAAAGAAAGAGACAAGCCGAGAGAAGGTAGGGTCAGTGTGTGTGGGATGGGGCTGGAGGGAGTTGCCGGGATGCCACAGAGACCGTTGGGCTCATCAGAAAAGACGCCCATGGGAGAGAAACGTGCAGGATACAGGTATGAGCTCCACTGTGGCCAGTCCCTGCCCTCAGCCCTGACAGGATACAGAAGAGCAGAGCACCCAGAAGCTGCCTTGTGATTTTCCCTGCACAAAAGGAAAATGTGGGGTACTTTCTGCAGCCTAAGAAGTAGGCAAAGCAGGAAAAGGGACGCTCATATGTCCCCAGACTTGTCTGTACCTAGAACTTTCTGTTACCTAGTTTAGTCATGGCCTCATACTTTCTCTTCATGTACACATAGATGATTTTCTCCGAGTATTTCATCTTTTCCCACTCTTTCTCAGAGAAGTATTTGGCAATATCATCAAAGGGCTAGAGAAAAAAAAAAACAAAAAAGAAATTTTGGCAGTGACTCAGCTAGGCATGTCTGTCATTCAGATTGAGCCACTTCTTGTGTGCTGGATCTCAGAAGTAGGGATGATATACCCTCCTGGCTGACGCCGTGGCTAACTGACAGAACATGGGGAATCTTCCCTAGCTTCTCCCCTGCCACACAGTAGGGCTTTAATGCTGCTGGCTGACTCCTTTCCCACCTTCCAGAATGGACTGAGAGTCACCAAATGAAGTGCAAGGTCACAGACTTGTCTCCAGGATGCTAGGTGATGACAGAGTGAGGGTGGGGGGCTCCCAAGGCTCCAGATCTCCCCGAGACCCTGCTCCTTGTCTCCAGTATCTCTGTTCACCCCTCCTCAGAAACCTGGTCACCCCACACTGTCCCCTGGGTCACTACTCTGCCCCCTCCAGGTCACCTTTTGTATCTTCTCTGGTGTTTGAGCATCATCCCTAGCTCTCTTTGCACAGTCTTCGTCTCTGTTCATGGCACCGGGACCAGTCTGACCTGCAAGAGAAACTGCCTGAGTCTTTCCAGCCGTAGGACCTTTGGTCCTGTGGAGGGAGAAATCTGTAAAGGCCAGTCACACTCAGTCACCTGGAATCAGGTGCTGCATTTCTCCATCCGGGGCTTATCAGTCCCTGAGTAAGAACATGGGGAGAAGTCAGATGAAAACAGGGAGCCAAGGGTCTCTGGGAGAAGTATTGATTGGGGATGACAGGTTTCTTATGGGCAAGGCAGCTTTGAGTCTTTGGGATGGGTTTGGCTACTGTTGTTAGTAGTTTCCCTGGGGGCTAGGCTTACCCTAAAAGATGTACAGACCCTTGTTGTGGAGGCAGGGACGTGACTGTGTAATTTTATTCAGTGGGGACATTCTGACACCCCCACTCAATAAATAAAGGAAGGGAAGTGAGTCCCAGAGATTACATGGTCTCTCTGGTGATGGATCTGATCAGGCAGAGGGATGGGGGGTTCGGTTCTGTTGAAGAGAAATGAGCATCACTACAATGAACGTGTTTAGAGGCTATTACTGGGTGATTTGTAAATTATTAGAAGGAAGAGAGCTGGAATTTCTGAGACAATAAGAGCCCGCCATCACTTAGAAAGAATGTGGGGCGTTTCAAGATGCAGCAATCAGCCAGGTGCAGTGGCTCACGCCTGTAATCCCAGCACTTTGGGAGGCCGAGGCGTGCAGATCACTTGAGCCCAGGAGGTCGAGACTGGGCTGGGAAACATAGCAAAATTCCCGTATCTACAAAAAATACAAAAAGTGAGCCGGGGGTTGGGGAGCAGGTCTGTACCATTCCAGCACTTTGGAAGGCCAAGGTGGTGGATCGCCTGAGCCCAGGAGCTTGAGACCAGGCCCGCAATCACAGTGAAACCAACTCTACTAAAAAAAAAAAAAAAAAAATTAGCAGAAGCCAGGTGTTGAGCCCCTGTGGTCCCAAGGCCTAGGTGAGAGGATCACATCAGCCCAGCATGAAAGATTTTAGTGAGCTTTTTTCTTTTTTTTTTTTTTTTTTTTTTCAGACAGGGTCTCGCTCTGTTGCCAGGCTGGGATACACTGGCGTGATCATGGCTCACTGCAACCTCCGCCTCGTGAGTTCAAGCGATCCACCAGCTGTGGCTTCCAAACGTGCAGGGATTACAAGCATAAGCCACCGCACCCAGCCCAAATTTCTTAAGTTACTACAGAGTTTCTAGGAAAAATCCCATACCTGAAAAAGTTAGAAACTGACAGGAAGGATTTGAGATGGCGACCTGCTTCATATACACTCCTTATTAAAACTAGATAACAAACGCACCACGGAGGAGGGGAGGGGTAGGAAGAATGAAAAAAGAAAATCAGTGCATGCTTACTCTGATTTTGGAAGAATCGAAAGAGAGAATCAGAGCGTGCGTACTCTGAGTGTGGAAGAAACGAAAGAGAGAGAAAGTCAGAGCATGCGTACTCTGAACTGAAAGTAGCCAATCACAGGGGATGCTTTCAGCGGGAAAATGAGAGTCTCCACCTCCACTTTGAGCAGGTTCTGCCCCTGGAGCCTGGACTGATAGAAGCCACATCAGCTTCGCTTATTCCGCCTACTATTCTGACTTCTGATTGGCCAGATGGAGTTCACTAACTGCCCTGATTGGTCCATCATCCTTGGGCAGTGACATTGCACAATAATGTCTCATCCTCCAGCCACACTTTGTCACCACTGCGACAAAGTGGGTGGTCCTCAGGAGTCATCAGGAGATTTTGATCTCTCTGAAGACCGTCCCTGGATCTTGGGTTAAAAATCTGTATTCTAGTCTGAACCGTGGGAAGAAAAAATAGTCATCTGTGATTTTTCTGCTTGAAAGATACAGTGTTTTCCAAACTAGCACATTTGCGGAGGTTTGCTGTACTTAGTTGTGGCGTTCATCCTTCAGTGGCTTCTATATCTGTTGCAATTCAGAAAACAGTCCAAGGCTCTCCAACCTCTGATTACATTTTTGAAAGGGAATCTAAGTGTGGTGTGCACAATTACCATCCTTTACCTGTAGCCCTGGAGAGAGGAAAATGTATTTACTTATGGGATGTGACTGTGGTGTTGTTTACATCTGCCTTGGCCAATCCTTCCGCCTCGTTCTTGGGACTACAGGCATGAACCATCCCACCCCCGCTAATATTTTTTATTTTTTGACTTTTTTAATAGAGATGGTTTTGCTGTGTTGGCCAGGTTGGTCTGGACGTCCTGGGCTCAAGTGATCCTCCCACCTCGGCCTCAGGACTAAGGGCATTCACCACCCTGCCCACGCTTTTTTTTTTTTTAGTAGTAGAAACCAGGTTTGGCTATGTTGGCCAGGCCGGCATCAAGCTCCTGTGCTCAAGGGATCCTCCCGCCTTGGCCTCAGGACTAGTCATGCACCACCCTGCCCAAGTAATTTTTTGTTTTGTTTTGTTTCATGTTAGTAGAAACCAGGTTTCTCTATGTTGCCCAGGCTGGCCTCAATCTCTTGGCCTCAAATGATGCTTCCACCTCGGCCTCAGGACTACAGGCGTGTGCCATTCTTCCTTGCTCATTTTTATTTATTTATTTATTCATTCATTCATTCATTCATTTTTTAGGAGAGACAGGCTTTTGCTTTGTTGGCCAGGCTGGTATCAACCTCCTGGGCTCAAGCAATCCTCCCACCTTGGCCTGGGAACTACACGGGTGAGCCACCCCACCCATGCTTTTTTGTTGTTGTTCTTGTTGTTGGTAGAAATGGGGTTTCGCTATGTTGGCCAGGCTGCCCTCGACCTCCTGGGCTCAAGCAATCCTCCCGCCTCGGCCTTGGGACTACAGGCTCACACCACCCCGCCCCTACTAATATGTTTAATTTTTCTATTAGAGACAATTTTGCTATGTTGTCCAGGCTGGTCTCTACTTCCTGGGCTCAAGTGATCCTCCCGCCTCGGCCTGGGGACTACAGGCATGCACCACCCTGCTTTTTTGCTATTTTTCCCAGGCTGGTCTTGACCTCCTGGGCTCACTCAATAATTTGATCCCGGGAAATGGAGGTTGCATTGAGCTGAGATCACAGCACTGCACTCCAGCTTGGGCGACAGAGCAAGACTGAAAAAAGAGAAAGAAAGAAAGAGAGAAAGAGAGAGAGAGAGAGAAAGAGAGAAAGAGAAGAAAGAAAAGAAAGAAAAAAGAAAGGAGGGAGGGAGGGAAGGAGGGAGGAAGGAAGGAAGGAAGACCAGCTTAATCTCCATAAGAACAGTGAGCTTGGTGGTATTTTTTACTTACCCTCGTCCCATCTCATGCTCCCAGCTTAGTTCTGTTCATTGCTGATGAAATACAGATAGGATTGGCCAGAACCAGTAGATGGCTGGCTGTTGATCATGAAAATGTCAGACCTGATATAGTCCTTGGAAAGGCCCTTTCTGGGGGCTGATACTCTGTGTCTGCAGTACTGTGGGACAATGGCATAATGATGACCATTAAGCCAGGGGAACATGGGTCCACATATGGTGGCAATCCACTAGGCTGCCGAATGGTCATTGCAGCCCTCGAGGTTTTAGAAGAAGAAAATCTTGCTGAAAACTCAGGAAAAAAATGGGTGTTATCTTGAGAAATGAACCCATGAAGCTACCTTCTGATGTTGTAACTGCCATAAGAGGAACAGAATTCTTTTTTTTTTTTTTTTGAGTCAGAGGTTCACTCTGGTTGCCCAGGATGGATTGCAATGGCGCGATCTTGGCTCACTGCAACCTCTGCCTCCTGGGTTCTAGCGATTTTTCTGCCTCAGCCTCCTGAGTAGCTGGGATTACAGGCACGCACCACTATGTCCGGCTAATTTTTGTATTTTTATTAGAGACAGGGTTTCGCCATGTTGGTCAGGCTGGTCTCAAACTCCTGACCTCAGGTGATCCACCTGCCTTGGCCTCCCAAAGTGTTGTGAGACACTGTGCCCGGGAGGAAAAGAATTATTAAATGCTATTGCTATTAAAGAAACCAATGACTGTGATGCTTGGAAGGTGTGTCTACGACTTCGAGTTTATGGACTTCTGGCCAAGCCCACCCATGGTGACATCATCAGGTTTCACCTCTGCTGGTGGTCAAGCAGGATGAGATTCAAGAGTCCAGTGAAGTCATTAACAAGACCATCTTGTCATGCTGAGGGTAGCAGCTGTTTTCAGTGGTCCCTGGAGCCTGCTGGAGACAGGTGGTCCTGTAAAAGCTCTGCTCTTAATGCGGGCACATTCTGCTCCCATGTGTCTTCAAAACCTTTTTGTGGAATGTATGTTTTTTCAGTTGATACATAATAGAACAACGTTTATGAACCTGCCATTTGCTTTGTAATGTAAGAGAATGTAATGGCATCTATATTCAGTGAAAGTGTTTTGATGTGCATGTGTACTTTCTAAGGTGAAATGCATCTATATATACAGACAGCCTTTAAATCACACCGTTCAGTATACTTTATATATGTTTTCATAATTTCCTTGCTGGTGTAAAGGTTTTGTATTTGAAAAAGTTATCTCTAGTGTATTACATAAAAGGCTTCACCTCATAAAGTCAAATCATTGATATCATTGAATTTTAGGGAGGATCAATGGTTAAGCATATATAAAATACTAGCTTTTTTGTTTTGTTTAGTTTTTGTTTTTGTTTTTGTTTTGAGATGGAGTCTCGCTCTGTCGCCCAGGCTGGAGTGCAGTGGCTCGATCTCAGTTCATTGCAAGCTCCACCTCCTGGGTTCACGCCATTCTCCTGCCTCAGCTTCCTCAGTAGCTGGGACTACAGGTGCCCACCACAAAGCCTGGCTAATTTTTTGTATCTTTAGTAGAGATGAGGTTTCACCGTGTTAGCCAGGATGATCTCGATCTCCTGACCTCATGATCTGTCCGCCTCAACCTCCCAAAGTGTTGGGATTACAGGCGTGAGCCACTGCGCCCGGCCTATCAAATGCTAATATTAAGTAAACTTTATACTGGCCAACACCAGGATATATTCTATGGATGTCATTAATTTGAATAAGAATTAGTGTTTAACATTCCTAAATTGTTTTGAGTGCTTGATTATAATTTGTAAAAAACAATGTTTATTTTTAATATTTCTTTACATTTTAAACAAAGCTTATATTTCAGAAAATTAAAAAAAGATACAGAACATGGCCAAGTGCAGTGGTTCACACTTGTAATCCCAGTACTTTGGGAGGCCGAGGTGGGCAGATCACTTGAGGTCAGGAGTTTGAGACCAGCCTGGCCAACATGGAGAAACCCCATCTCTACTAAAAATACAAAAATTAGCCGGGCATGGTGGCACCTGCCTGTAGTCCCAGGTACATGGGAGGCTGAGACAGGAGAACAGCTCAAACCCGGGAGGCAGAGGTTGCAGTGAGCCCGAGAGCGTGCCACTGCACTACAGCCTAGGTGACAGAGTGAGAATCCTTCTCGGGGGAAAAAAAAAAAAAAAAAGGTACAGTACATTTTCATCACCGCAATGCTGTCCCTTATACTACTGTTTTTCATTTCCACAATTTTGTCTTTTCTACAATGCTATACAAGTGAAACCTTATAGTATATAACGTTTTATGGGCTTATTTCACTCAGCATAATTCCATGGAGATTCCTCCAAGATATTGATATTTGCGTGTCAACAGTTCGTCGTCGTCGTCGTCGTCGTCGTCGTTGTTGTTGTTGTTGTTGTTGAGACAGAGTCTCACTCTGTCGCCCAGGCTGGAGTGCAGTGTCTCAGCTCACTGCAACCTCCGCCTCCCAGGTTCAAGTGATTTTCCAGCCTCAGCCTCCCGAGTAGCTGTGACTACGTGCCCGGGTAATTTTTGTATTAGTAGTAAAGACTGGGTTTCAACATACTGGCAAGGCGGGTCTTGAACTCCTGACGTCATGATCCACCAGCCTCGACCTCCCAAAGTGCTGTGATAACAGGGTGAGCCACTGTGCCCTGCCAATAGTTCATTTTTATTACTGAGTAGTATTCCAGAGGATGGATGTACCACAGTTTGAGCATTCACTTATGGTAGGACATATTGATTATTTCCAGCTACTGGCTATTACAAGTAAAACTGCTATGAACAATTATGTACAAGTTTCTGGGTGGGCATAAATTTTAATTTCTCTGAAGTGTAATTGTTGAATTGTATGGTCATTGCATTGTTTAGTTTTATAAGAAACTACCAAACTGCTTTCCAGAGTGGCTGTAAGATTTTACCTTCCTAGCAGCACTTAATGAGGTGTTCAGTTTCTCTGCATCCTCGTTACCATTTGGTGTTGTCACTATGTCTTTTATTTTAGCTATTGTAACAAGTGTGTAGTGATACCTCATCGTGATCTTAATTTGCATCTAGTGAAGCAAATGAATGTTGAACATCTTTTCATGTGCTTGTTTGCTTGTTTCCTCTTCAGTGAAATGTATGTTCATATCTTTTCATGATTTTCTAAT